GTGTGGAGATGCCATGAATGTTGATTGATAAGGGGAGGGAAGGAGAGAAGGAAGGAGGGAGACAGGGAGAAGATGAAAAGGGAGGGATGGATGAGGAGGGAAAGAGAGAGAGAGATAAAGAAAAACGTAGACATGTAAGGGTCCCTCAACAACACAGGTGACGCCCTCACCCAGTAACTCGAGGTCACCCTAACCCCACTTACTAATCCCCCCTCCCCCCCTCACCCCTGCTCGCTCCCTAGCCGTGAAAACAGAGAAAGGGATACAGCGACGAGGCGAGCAGAGGCCAGCCAATCCTATCCTCAAATCCTGTTGCCCGGCTAATGAAATCTGAGTCCAATTCGGAATTCAATCCTCTTTGGCTGAGAAAAAGGGGATGGAAGACCTTATTGGATCCTGAGACCCGTCAGAGGTACACCCAACTCTGCCATTGTCAACATTATCCTTTAGTTAGTAGTCAGCTGGTTGTGCCCCGGCGGTAAGGCGTCGTCACGCGTGGCCACGACCTGCTGGCTCATGTCTCCAGGTGCTTTCTCTTGGTTGAACTCGGATAATTACTTTTATTTGTACTGAAACTCGCGCATTCTCTCTGTTACCTGTGACACCAAGTGAAGGAAGGCCAAAGTACCAAATAACTGACACTGGAGATTGGCTCGCCAATATTATACTGGAGAAGGGTTATATAAAATGTGGGGTTTAGAGCGGAGCCACTAGTTTGACACTTTACTAACTGATAGTTATACACAGTTGTCAAGGCGAGAGGGAGAAACATTTGCAGAGAACTGTACGTGTACTACACTACCCGCACCCCACCACACACGACCACCAGGGAGGTGTCTACACTACCCGCACTCCACCACACACGACCACCAGGGAGGTGTCTACACTACCCACACCCCACACACACGACCGCCAGGGAGGTGTCTACACTACCCGCACCCCACCACACACGACCGCCAGGGAGGTGTCTACACTACCCGCACCCCACCACACACGACCGCCAGGGAGGTGTCTACACTACCCGCACCCCACCACACACGACCACCAGGGAGGTGTCTACACTACCCGCACCCCACCACACACGACCGCCAGGGAGGTGTCTACACTACCCGCACCCCACCACACACGACCACCAGGGAGGTGTCTACACTACCCACACCCCACCACACACGACCACCAGGGAGGTGTCTACACTACCCGCACCCCACCACACACGACCACCAGGGAGGTGTCTACACTACCTGCACCCCACCACACACGACCACCAGGGAGGTGTCTACACTACCCGCACTCCACCACACACGACCACCAGGGAGGTGTCTACACTACCCACACCCCACCACACACGACCACCAGGGAGGTGTCTACACTACCCGCACCCCACCACACACGACCACCAGGGAGGTGTCTACACTACCCGCACCCCACCACACACGACCACCAGGGAGGTGTCTACACTACCCGCACCCCACCACACACGACCACCAGGGAGGTGTCTACACTACCCACACACGACCACCAGGGAGGTGTCTACACTACCCGCACCCCACCACACACGACCACCAGGGAGGTGTCTACACTACCCGCACCCCACCACACACGACCACCAGGGAGGTGTCTGCACTACCCGCACCCCACCACACACGACCACCAGGGAGGTGTCTACACTACCCACACACGACCACCAGGGAGGTGTCTGCACTACCCGCACCCCACCACACACGACCACCAGGGAGGTGTCTACACTACCCGCACCCCACCACACACGACCACCAGGGAGGTGTCTACACTACCCGCACCCCACCACACACGACCACCAGGGAGGTGTCTGCACTACCCGCACCCCACCACACACGACCACCAGGGAGGTGTCTACACTACCCACACACGACCACCAGGGAGGTGTCTACACTACCCGCACCCCACCACACACGACCACCAGGGAGGTGTCTACACTACCCGCACCCCACCACACACGACCACCAGGGAGGTGTCTGCACTACCCGCACCCCACCACACACGACCACCAGGGAGGTGTCTACACTACCTGCACCCCACCACACACGACCACCAGGGAGGTGTCTACACTACCCGCACTCCACCACACACGACCACCAGGGAGGTGTCTACACTACCTGCACCCCACCACACACGACCACCAGGGAGGTGTCTGCACTACCCGCACCCCACCACACACGACCACCAGGGAGGTGTCTACACTACCCACACACGACCACCAGGGAGGTGTCTACACTACCCACACACGACCACCAGGGAGGTGTCTACACTACCCACACACGACCACCAGGGAGGTGTCTACACTACCCGCACCCCACCACACACGACCACCAGGGAGGTGTCTACACTACCCGCACTCCACCACACACGACCACCAGGGAGGTGTCTACACTACCCGCACCCCACCACACACGACCACCAGGGAGGTGTCTACACTACCCGCACTCCATCACACACGACCACCAGGGAGGTGTCTACACTACCCGCACTCCACCACACACGACCACCAGGGAGGTGTCTACACTACCCGCACCCCACCACACACGACCACCAGGGAGGTGTCTACACTACCCGCACCCCACCACACACGACCACCAGGGAGGTGTCTACACTACCCGCACCCCACCACACACGACCACCAGGGAGGTGTCTACACTACCCCACCCCACCACACGACCGACCACCAGGGAGGTGTCTACACTACCCGCACCCCACCACACACGACCACCAGGGAGGTGTCTACACTACCCGCACCCCACCACACACGACCACCAGGGAGGTGTCTACACTACCCACACACGACCACCAGGGAGGTGTCTGCACTACCCGCACCCCACCACACACGCCCCCCAGGGAGGTGTCTACACTACCCGCACCCCACCACACACGACCACCAGGGAGGTGTCTACACTACCCGCACCCCACCACACACGACCACCAGGGAGGTGTCTGCACTACCCGCACCCCACCACACACGACCACCAGGGAGGTGTCTACACTACCCACACACGACCACCAGGGAGGTGTCTACACTACCCGCACCCCACCACACACGACCACCAGGGAGGTGTCTACACTACCCGCACCCCACCACACACGACCACCAGGGAGGTGTCTGCACTACCCGCACCCCACCACACACGACCACCAGGGAGGTGTCTACACTACCTGCACCCCACCACACACGACCACCAGGGAGGTGTCTACACTACCCGCACTCCACCACACACGACCACCAGGGAGGTGTCTACACTACCCGCACCCCACCACACACGACCACCAGGGAGGTGTCTACACTACCTGCACCCCACCACACACGACCACCAGGGAGGTGTCTGCACTACCCGCACCCCACCACACACGACCACCAGGGAGGTGTCTACACTACCCACACACGACCACCAGGGAGGTGTCTACACTACCCGCACCCCACCACACACGACCACCAGGGAGGTGTCTACACTACCCGCACCCCACCACACACGACCACCAGGGTGTCTGCACTACCCGCACCCCACCACACACGACCACCAGGGAGGTGTCTACACTACCCGCACCCCACCACACACGACCGCCAGGGAGGTGTCTACACTACCCGCACCCCACCACACACGACCGCCAGGGAGGTGTCTACACTACCCGCACCCCACCACACACGACCACCAGGGAGGTGTCTACACTACCCACACACGACCACCAGGGAGGTGTCTACACTACCCGCACCCCACCACACACGACCACCAGGGAGGTGTCTACACTACCTGCACCCCACCACACACGACCACCAGGGAGGTGTCTACACTACCCGCACCCCACCACACACGACCACCAGGGAGGTGTCTACACTACCCGCACCACTACCCGCACCCCACCACACACGACCACCAGGGAGGTGTCTACACTACCCGCACCCCACCACACACGACCACCAGGGAGGTGTCTACACTACCCGCACCCCACCACACACGACCACCAGGGAGGTGTCTACACTACCTACACCCCACCACACATGACCACCAGGGAGGTGTCTGCACTACCCGCACCACTACCCGCACCCCACCACACACGACCACCAGGGAGGTGTCTGCACTACCCGCACCCCACCACACACGACCACCAGGGAGGTGTCTGCACTACCCGCACCACTACCCGCACCCCACCACACACGACCACCAGGGAGGTGTCTGCACTACCCGCACCCCACCACACACGACCACCAGGGAGGTGTCTGCACTACCCGCACCACTACCCGCACCCCACCACACACGACCACCAGGGAGGTGTCTGCACTACCCGCACCACTACCCGCACCCCACCACACACGACCACCAGGGAGGTGTCTACACTACCCGCACCCCACCACACACGACCACCAGGGAGGTGTCTGCACTACCCGCACCACTACCCGCACCCCACCACACATGACGGAGGTGGTCTGAGGAGCGCCTGCTATAACTAACACTCATCACGGCTTCGGTCACGAATCACTCGTTCTTGAACCCATTAAGCTATACAATATTGATGTATACATTAAACAGTATAACTAGATTATCCAAAAATGTAACTTGCCTGGCTCAGTGAATTTAGGAAAGTTCAGTTCCTGAGCTCTTTATGCGCCTCTAACCTTTCCCACTACCGCTTCAGAAAGATTATATCCAGTGTGTTTAACAAACTCAGTGGAAATATCAATTGGTTTTAACTGTGTTAGATAATGTTCCAATGGTCTGTGTGACGCTTCTAGAGTGCGATGATACCTAGTCGTCGCACTGTTACTAAAAACCCTCAATAGCTAGATTATAATAATTAAATATATACAGAGTTAAATGACTAACATCATTTTGTATTTTTATCAAATATAATGTTCAGATTCAGATTTAATAGCTTTATTTGTACATATATACAAATCATTGCAATAATGGATCTATTAAACATATATATACCAGCAAATCAAGTAATTATAAAAAGGAGCCAATCCGGGGACACTATGTACCAACAAGTGAATCAGAGATCTTGGGTGATGGTGAGGCAGCATCACTTGGAGCGGTGGGAGAGGCTGTCATCTTGGGTGATGGTGAGGCAGCATCACTTGGAGCGGTGGGAGAGGCTGTCATCTTGGGTGATGGTGAGACAGCATCACTTGGAGCAGTGGGAGAGGCTGTCATCTTGGGTGATGGTGAGGCAGCATCACTTGGAGCGGTGGGAGAGGCTGGCATCTTGGGTGATGGTGAGGCAGCATCACTTGGAGCGGTGGGAGAGGCTGGCATCTTGGGTGATGGTGAGGCAGCATCACTTGGAGCGGTGGGAGAGGCTGGCATCTTGGGTGATGGTGAGGCAGCATCACTTGGAGCAGTGGGAGAGGCTGTCATCTTGGGTGATGGTGAGGCAGCATCACTTGGAGCAGTGGGAGAGGCTGTCATCTTGGGTGATGGTGAGGCAGCATCACTTGGAGCGGTGGGAGAGGCTGGCATCTTGGGTGATGGTGAGGCAGCATCACTTGGAGCAGTGGGAGAGGCTGGCATCTTGGGTGATGGTGAGGCAGCATCACTTGGAGCAGTGGGAGAGGCTGTCATCTTGGGTGATGGTGAGGCAGCATCACTTGGAGCAGTGGAAGAGGCTGTCATCTTGGGTGATGGTGAGGCAGCATCACTTGGAGCAGTGGGAGAGGCTGGCATCTTGGGTGATGGTGAGGCAGCATCAGTCCATGAGGCGGTTGATGAGTGTGGGAGGTGTGTTGATAATGACACACACACAGCCGTGATACCACCGCTGCGAGACACCATCCACATCTGTCACATTCTGGACCAGCTGTTGCCAGTTGCCACCTCTACAACCTCTGCTACACGACGCACACTTCTGCTGAACCAGCCACATTTGCCCTCTGTGTGTTTTCACACTGATGACATCAGTGCCACGTGGGTTATCGCCGGTGCTGGCCAAAACCGCAGGTGGCGCTAGTAGCAGCTGGCAGCAGGCGGCCACCACAGCCAGCTTGATCAACACAATAGTTGTCATGATGAGACCAGTCAGGTGTCAAGTGCCACCAAACTGTGCCAGCGACCGTTATATAGGTGTAGCCGGCCCGGGCCACGGTAACTCTTCAGTGGAACCTCCCAGCTATCGGCACCACTCCGGGGCAACGGTATTGCACCTACCTGGAACATCCTGCCAGTGATAACTAGCTCATGATACTGGTGACGTGTTGATGACGCTGTTGAAGAACTGTGACGTGTTGATGACGGTACTGAGGAACGGTGACGTGTTGATGACGGTACTGAGGAACGGTGACGTATTAATGACGGTATTGAGCAACGGTGACGTGTTGATGACGGTACTGATGAACGGTGACGTATTAATGACGGTATTGAGCAACAGTGACGTGTTGATGACGGTACTGAGGAACGGTGACGTATTAATGACGGTATTGAGCAACGGTGACGTGTTGATGACGGTACTGAGGAACGGTGACGTATTAATGACGGTATTGAGCAACGGTGACGTGTTGATGACGGTACTGAGGAACGGTGGCGTATTAATGACGGTATTGAGCAACGGTGACGTGTTAATGACGGTATTGTTCTAAACGATTTGTATAATTAAACGTTTATATTGGATTGCACCATTTGGTGATGATTTGTGTTGTAGGTTAAGGTGTTGCCGGTCCTTGTGTTATGTCTGCTTGGACTGTTGAGATCGTAATGTTGAGATCTTACTTTAAGCGTACGACATCCCAAGGACGGGGAGAGGGGGATGGAGGACAGAGAGAGAGAGAGATGGAGACAGAGACAAGGGAAGGGATAGATATGGGGAGAGGGAGGGAAAAGAATAGAGGAAGATAGGAAAGGATAAGGAGAGAGAGATATGAAGAGGGGAAAGGAGGAGGTGGGGATGATGAGAGTCGGGTCATTCCATGGGAATTCACCAAAGGCCTCCCACTCGACCCTTTCTAAATCTTATGAAATTTTGTAATAAAGTAGCCCTAAACCCCAAATGAAATTGTGCAAAATATTAGAGCTCAATCTGTTTTGGTTCTTAAATAACAGGTCCATATTAAATGGGCTCTTGTCCCGTTAATGTGTAAATACCACAAAAATTACCAACTTTGACCCTTTGTTAAATCACGACTAGTGCCCACAGAGGTGTGAAATTTGGCATACCAGGGCAACTTTTGGTGCGGAATACAGCGGTGTAATCTAAAATGTAGTTTGGATAGCCATTCATCTACCAATCCATGCTAATATCACTGCCAATGTATCTCAAAATATCTCAATATGCATCATTCCCAGTTTGGTTTTGAATGACCCCATTGGATAGAGCAGATTTTTCTGTACAAGGGTGAATTTTATTTAGGTTGGGATCTGAATTCCTAGTTCAGCCACAAGACTCTGAAAATGACACTTTTAAATGTGAGGCGTACGTATATTGTAGGCTATTGCAAGCTGTCAAATCCAGAGCATGACAATTTGCAGAAGGCAAATTTATCCATTATTAGTGTAATCCTTGCTTTGGTCCATGGTGGCTGAGCCACTACCAATCTAAAGGATTGGCAACCCCATCGTCTAGGGGCCACGCACGATAGCCAGGCAAGGCTAGCCATGAGCGGGACACTTTCTCCCAGGTTCCCAAGCCTGTTAGTTGGGTGTCTGACAGATTCCCAAGCCTCATGTGGAGTCTTATCCTAGCATCATCCTCTGCAGTAGTTACTGTGATTGGTCGCGCTTCTTTTCGCTTTACATGGTATGTCTTCTTGAAGGGATTGCAGCAAGTCTTTTGCAAAAATTCAAATTTCGTCAACAGCAAAGCTTCATGCTGGAGGCATACTTGAGATTCTCCATCCAAGTTCAGTTCACTTCGCTTTACTATCAGTTTATGATCTTCTGCACTATACTGTTTTAGAAACTTCAAGCCTTTGTTGGGAGTGTAGGTTGTCAAGTGACACTCAGAAGAGCCACACTCATGGCTAGCAACAGCACATGGCAATAAACCAATGGAATCCTGATTCATGACGTATCCGTAATCGAATTCAATTCAAATTATTTAACTAACTGAATACATTAATTTCAAGTGAGACCTGTAATACATTAATATTAATATTGCTTTTTATTTATTTGTGTATTTATTGCAAGTAAATGGACAAAAAAGTAAACAGCAATGTTTGACCTGCTGACACGATACTACAAACATGTAAAGATAAATATAGAATAGGAGCCAAAAATAGCATTAATTGTTTAATAATAATTCTGAATCCCACCCAAAAATGTTCTACCCAATGAAGCTTAAAAAATTTCCAGTCAGTTTGAATGTCAATTTGGTAGCAGTCATGATCAGTACACACACAAGATGGAGAATCATAATTTGATTTTTTCGATATCGCAATAAGGTATGTCATTTTCAGAGTCCTCTGGCTGAACTAGGAATTCAGATCCCAACCTAAATATAAAATTACTCTTGTACAGAAAATTCTGCTCTATCCAATGGTGTCATTCAAAACCAAATTGGGAATGACGCATATTGAGATATTTTGAGATATATTGACAGTGATATTAGCATAGATTGATAGCTGAATGGCTACCCAAACTGCATTTTTGATTACATTGCTGTATTCCGCACCAAACGTTGCCCACGTATGCCAAATTTCACACCTCTCTGGGCACTAGTCGTGACTTAAGAAGGGGTCGAAGTTGGTAGTTTTTGTTGTATTTACGCATTAACGGGACGAGAGCCCATTCAATATGGACTTGTTATTTAAGAACCAAAGCAGATTGAGCTCTAATATTTTGCAAAGTGTCATTTGGGGTCTTGGGCTATCTTACTTCAAAATTTCAAGGCATTTGGAGAGGGTCGAGTGGGAGCCATAGGTGACTTTTTGGTGATTTGAGATGGAATGACCCAGTACGAAGGATGTGGGGAGGAGAGAGATAGGTCTAAACTTTTTTCTTGGACTAGACAATGGTCCAGGACGGACCGAAACGTCGTCGTCTCCTCATCATCTGGTGTGTGGTTTGGTCAACATTCTTCAGCCACGTTATTGTGACTCATCATCGGAATTTTTTCTTGGAGTTCACACACAATCAATCACCCTGCGAGATGGCGACATTAGGTACACTTATAGGTAGCTCTACACCTATTCTGTTACCCTCCTCGTATGTAGCTAAGCTTGTTAAGCGTAATCCACTTACACCATTCCCCCCTCACCGTTCCATGGTCCCCAAGCTTGAAATCTGAACTCCAGGAAACCAGCACGTTCTGGCGTGCTTCTGGGAACGTTAGGTTCCGTTACAGCTATTTGATAAACTTCAAATCTCTAGGGATTTTGCCTAACTAGGGCCTGGATTCATTAAATATTTGGACAACAGCTTACGAAACCTATACATTTTCCTTAATCATAGATGCTGTGTATACATTTACTGAGGAGTTTACGAGCATCCAAACTTCACAACCCACGGTTGTTATTGTTATAAACAGCCTCGTAATACTTCGAAGATCATAAACTGTTTAATAAAAGTAAACAGGGTTATAATGACTGAAGAAAGATGTAGAGGTTTCGTAAATGGCCGCTTGAATGCTTGGTGAATCCTGGCCCAGAAGGCTACGGACCAAACTTATAGACACCAAGACTTATTAGGAGGGGGGGGGGCCTCGTAGCCTGGTGGATAGCGCGCAGGACTCTTAATTCTGTGGCGCGGGTTCGATTCCCGCACGAGGCAGAAACAAATGGGCAAAGTTTCTTTCATCCTGAATGCCCCTGTTACCTAGCAGTAAATAGGTACCTGGGTGTTAGTCAGCTGTCACGGGCTGCTTCCTGGGGGTGGAGGCCTGGTCAAGGACCGGGCCGCGGGGACACTAAAGCCCCGAAATCAACTCAAGATAACCTCAAGATATTAGTCTAGACTAGAGGAAGTGTCAATTTTACAATACTTTTAATCTCCCTAAAAACTTACGAGTAATTCTTAACGCGTCGGTCGACAACATCAAAACCACCATCACAGTGTGATGGATCAGGTCTGCTCATGGTAATTATTCTCGCCTCCCTCTACTTCCACAGCTTTATTTTCATTTTCATTCCGCCTTTCCTAACTCCCTTAGTACTTCCTCTCAGCGCCATGATCCATAAAGCTGTTGGAATGCCTCGCTGCAATCCCTGTTTATGGGTCTTCTCTTTCACTGTTCAGTTTTTCCATTTCGATTTTAAATCCGCGCCATTATACCCCCTTCCCAGGGACTGTTGTTCGCACTCTCGCTTTCCTTAACATCAACACCTTGTAATACCTCCACGTCTCCCTCCCTCCAGTTTTACCCTATTATAGCTGGGGTCTTCCCCCACTGATAGCAAGGGTGTTCCCCACTATGAATACTAGGGACCTTCCTATCACTGATAATAGGGGCCTTCTGGACAATGTGGCAGGGAGAACTGCGACACACAATGTGGCAGGGGGGACTGTGACACACAATGTGGCAGGGGGAACTGTGACAATGTGGCAGGGGGAACTGTGACATACAATGTGGCAGGGGGAACTGTGACAATGTGGCAGGGGGAACTGTGACACACAATGTGGCAGGGGGAACTGTGACACACAATGTGGCAGGGGGAACTGTGACACACAATGTGGCAGGGGGAACTGTGACACACAATGTGGCAGGGGGAACTGTGACAATGTGGCAGGGGGAACTGTGACAATGTGGCAGGGGGAACTGAGACATACAATGTGGCAGGGGGAACTGTGACATACAATGTGGCAGGGGGAACTGTGACATACAATGTGGCAGGGGGAACTGTGACAATGTGGCAGGGGGAACTGTGACATACAATGTGGCAGGGGGAACTGTGACATACAATGTGGCAGGGGGAACTGTGACAATGTGGCAGGGGGAACTGTGACAATGTGGCAGGGGGAACTGTGACACACAATGTGGCAGGGGGAACTGTGACAAAGTGGCAGGGGGAACTGTGACAATGTGGCAGGGGGAACTGTGACACACAATGTGGCAGGGGGAACTGTGACACACAATGTGGCAGGGGGAACTGTGACACACAATGTGGCAGGGGGAACTGTGACACACAATGTGGCAGGGGGAACTGTGACACACAATGTGGCAGGGGGAACTGTGACACACAATGTGGCAGGGGGAACTGTGACACACAATGTGGCAGGGGGAACTGTGACACACAATGTGGCAGGGGGAACTGTGACAATGTGGCAGGGGGAACTGTGACAATGTGGCAGGGGGAACTGTGACATACAATGTGGCAGGGGGAACTGTGACATACAATGTGGCAGGGGGAACTGTGACAATGTGGCAGGGGGAACTGTGACATACAATGTGGCAGGGGGAACTGTGACAATGTGGCAGGGGGAACTGTGACATACAATGTGGCAGGGGGAACTGTGACAATGTGGCAGGGGGAACTGTGACACACAATGTGGCAGGGGGAACTGTGACACACAATGTGGCAGGGGGAACTGTGACAATGTGGCAGGGGGAACTGTGACAATGTGGCAGGGGGAACTGTGACATACAATGTGGCAGGGGGAACTGTGACAAACAATGTGGCAGGGGGAACTGAGACAAAGTGGCAGGGGGAACTGTGACATACAATGTGGCAGGGGGAACTGTGACAATGTGGCAGGGGGAACTGTGACACACAATGTGGCAGGGGGAACTGTGACACACAATGTGGCAGGGGGAACTGTGACACACAATGTGGCAGGGGGAACTGTGACACAATGTGGCAGGGGGAACTGTGACACACAATGTGGCAGGGGGGACTGTGACACACAATGTGGCAGGGGGGACTGTGACACACAATGTGGCAGGGGGGACTGTGACACACAATGTGGCAGGGGGGACTGTGACACACAATGTGGCAGGGGGGACTGTGACACACAATGTGGCAGGGGGGACTGTGACACAATGTGGCAGGGGGAACTGTGACACACAATGTGGCAGGGGGGACTGTGACACCATGTGGCAGGGGGAACTGCTGTTATTGGGTTCCCCCATGCAGTAACAGCAGCGACCTTCTCCCAATGACAGCAGGGACACAATTTTGTGCACAGTGTATGAGCACCGTGGTTTGTGCACAGTGTATGAGCACCGTGGTTTGTGCACAGTGTATGAGCACCGTGGTTTGTGCACAGTGCACAAGTTATGCATAAATTACGTGGAGTGTCATTGTGCACAGTACAAAAGCGTTATATTTTTTGTGCATAGTTCAAGAGCGTGAAACTGTGTGCACAGTACAAGAGCGTGATATTGTGTGCACAGTACAAGAGCGTGATATTGTGTGCACAGTGCAAGACCGTGATATTGTGTGCACAGTACAAGAGCGTGATATTGTGTGCACAGTACAAGAGCGTGATATTGTGTGCACAGTACAAGAGCGTGATATTGTGTGCACAGTACAAGAGCGTGATATTGTGTGCACAGTGCAAGACCGTGATATTGTGTGCACAGTACAAGAGCGTGATATTGTGTGCACAGTGCAAGAGCGTGATATTGTGTGCACAGTACAAGAGCGTGATATTGTGTGCACAGTGCAAGACCGTGATATTGTGTGCACAGTACAAGAGCGTGATATTGTGTGCACAGTTCAAGACCGTGATATTGTGTGCACAGTACAAGAGCGTGATATTGTGTGCACAGTACAAGAGCGTGATATTGTGTGCACAGTGCAAGAGCGTGATATTGTGTGCACAGTACAAGACCGTGATATTGTGTGCACAGTACAAGAGCGTGATATTGAGTGCACAGTACAAGACCGTGATATTGTGTGCACAGTACAAGAGCGTGATATTGTGTGCACAGTACAAGAGCGTGATATTGTGTGCACAGTGCAAGAGCGTGATATTGTGTGCACAGTACAAGACCGTGATATTGTGTGCACAGTACAAGAGCGTGATATTGTGTGCACAGTACAAGACCGTGATATTGTGTGCACAGTACAAGAGCGTGATATTGTGTGCACAGTGCAAGAGCGTGATATTGTGTGCACAGAACAAGAGCGTGATATTGTGTGCACAGTGCAAGAGCGTGATAGTGTGTGCACAGTACAAGACCGTGATATTGTGTGCACAGTACAAGAGCGTGATATTGTGTGCACAGTGCAAGAGCGTGATATTGTGTGCACAGTACAAGAGCGTGATATTGTGTGCACAGTACAAGAGCGTGATATTGTGTGCACAGTACAAGACCGTGATATTGTGTGCACAGTACGAAGACCATAAAAGCATTGTTTACCTTGCACGAGGACCGTGATAATATCGTGCACCGTGCAACAGAAGAGATATTATTGTGCACAGTGCACGGTAAGTGTTAAGAGTGACACCCTATTAATTAGTGTATGTTGGATACTTTAATCCCTAACTCCACCATTCAGTTCTTGCACGGTCAGTGTTCGATCCTGATGATCCATGTCCTTCACTCTCTCCTCGTAGCCCAGCTCCCAGCCCCCTCCCCGTATTCCAGTCCCGCCCCCGTATTCCAGCCCCGCCCCCGTATTCCAGCCCCGCCCCCGTATTCCAGCCCCGTCCCCCGTATTCCAGCCCCGTCTCCGTATTCCAGTCCCGGCCCCGTATTCCAGTCCCGCCCCCGTATTCCAGTCACGCCCCCGTATTCCAGTCACGCCCCCGTATTCCAGGCCCGCCCCCGTATTCCAGTCACGCCCCCATATTCCAACCCCACCCCCGTATTCCAGTCCCAGCCCAGTATTCCAGTCACGTCCCCGTATTCCAGCCCCACCCCCGTATTCCAGTCCCGGCCCCGTATTCCAGTCCCGCCCCCGTATTCCAGTCACGCCCCCGTATTCCAGGCCCGCCCCCGTATTCCAGTCACGCCCCCATATTCCAACCCCACCCCCGTATTCCAGTCCCAGCCCCGTATTCCAGTCACGTCCCCGTATTCCAGCCCCACCCCCGTATTCCAGTCCCGCCCCCGTATTCCAGTCACGCCCCCGTATTCCAGGCCTGCCCCCGTATTCCAGTCACGCCCCCGTATTCCAGTCCCGCCCCCGTATTCCAGTCACGCCCCCGTATTCCAGTCACGCCCCCGTATTCCAGTCCCGCCCCCGTATTCCAGTCACGCCCCCGTATTCCAGTCACGCCCCCGTATTCCAGGCCCGCCCCCGTATTCCAGTCCCGGCCCCGTATTCCAGTCCCGCCCCCGTATTCCAGTCACGCCCCCGTATTCCAGTCACGCCCCCGTATTCCAGGCTCGCCCCCGTATTCCAGTCCCGCCCCCGTATTCCAGTCACGCCCCGTATTCCAGCCCCACCCCCGTATTCCAGTCCCGCCCCCGTATTCCAGTCACGCCCCCGTATTCCAGTCATGCCCCCGTATTCCAGCCCCACCCCCGTATTCCAGTCCTGGCCCCGTATTCCAGTCCTGGCCCCGTATTCCAGTCACGCCCCCGTATTCCAGCCCCACCCCCGTATTCCAGCCCCGGCCCCGTATTCCAGTCCCACCCCCGTATTCCTGCCTCGTCCCTGTATTCCAGCCCCGCCCCCGTATTCCAGCCCCGGCCCCTTATTCCAGTCCCAGCCCCGTATTCCAGTCCCGCCCCCGTATTCCTGCCTCGTCCCTGTATTCCAGCCACGCCCCCGTATTCCAGCCCCGGCCCCTTATTCCAGTCACGCCCCCGTATTCCAACCCCGCCCTCATACTCCGGTTTAGTTCATCCTCATATCCCAGTCCGGTCCCAATATCCCGCCTAGCGTGTCCTCATATTGTCATGCATATTCAATGACTCATTACAGTTGAGCAGAGTCGTGGAGGGTTGTTAATGTGGTACCTATTTTTAAGAGAGATATTACTCGTCGAGTGATCGATCAATTAACGTTATGTTTGTTTTGAGAAAATTGCTTTAATAAGTAATTGCAAAAGCCGCTCGTCTACATATGAGGAAAAACATGTTAATAAACGATTCACAACATGGTTTTACCAGCCCGTCCTCATCAACAAAGGCCAAAAGCTCATTAATCCTGCCGCCAAATGAAAGGAAAACTTTACACGACTCACAACTGACGGCGTTCGAACATTTCTTGAATAGTGCTTCGCTGATGACCACTGTTCGAATCGCAATGCTGTAAATACCCCCCCCCCCCATGTACTTCAATAATAACAAAATATATAAATGAGAACAAATCTGTTTTAGTAGTCAATAACATATATCCCAGCTCCCAGTCTCGTCCTCATATATCCCAGCTCCCAGTCTCGTCCTCATATATCCCAGCTCCCAGTCTCGTCCTCATATATCCCAGCTCCCAGTCTCGTCCTCATATATCCCAGCTCTCAGTCTCGTCCTCATATATCCCAGCTCTCAGTCTCGTCCTCATATATCCCAGCTCCCAGTCTCGTCCTCATATATCCCAGCTCCAAGTCTCATCCTCATATATCCCAGCTCTCAGTCTCGTCCTCATATATCCCAGCTCCAAGTCTCATCCTCATATATCCCAGCTCTGTCTCGTCCTCATATATCCCAGCTCCCAGTCTCTTCCTCATATATCCCAGCTCTGAGTCTCGTCCTCATATATCCCAGCTCCCAGTCTCGTCCTCATATATCCCAGCTCCCAGTCTCGTCCTCATATATCCCAGCTCCCAGTCTCGTCCTCATATATCCCAGCTCCCAGTCTCGTCCTCATATATCCCAGCTCTCAATCTCGTCCTCATATATCCCAGCTCCAAGTCTCGTCCTCATATATCCCAGCTCCCAGTCTCGTCCTCATATATCCCAGCTCCCAGTCTCGTCCTCATATATCCCAGCTCTCAGTCTCGTCCTCATATATCCCAGCTCTCAGTCTCGTCCTCATATATCCCAGCTCCCAGTCTCATCCTCATATATCCCAGCTACCAGTCTCGTCCTCATATATCCCAGCTCCCAGTCTCGTCCTCATATATCCCAGCTCTCAGTCTCGTCCTCATATATCCCAGCTCTCAGTCTCGTCCTCATATATCCCAGCTCCAAGTCTCGTCCTCATATATCCCAGCTACCAGTCTCGTCCTCATATATCCCAGCTCTCAGTCTCGTCCTCATATATCCCAGCTCCCAGTCTCGTCCTCATATATCCCAGCTCCAAGTCTCGTCCTCATATATCCCAGCTACCAGTCTCGTCCTCATATATCCTGTACTTCCATTGTGTATTTCGTTTCTCTGTTTACATACAAAGTTGACCTCAGACACGGACAATGTTCCCAGCTAAAATACACTTATTGTTCTGTCAGTACGCGGCCGTCACGGACCTTAACAGTCCTCCAAGGGTCGACAGGCCTTGAGCCCAACACCCCTGGATCATCCAAGCACATCAAATCTTAAATGTTGTTGGCAGACAAGGCTATAGAAGCTCTGGCGTTTCTCGAGACGGGGCGGGAACTGGGGCCGCCCGGGGGAGGTTGCGGAAGGAAGCGTGAGTGGCGCCACACTCGCCTACATACCAGACATACGGAAAGAGAGAAGAATATTCAGCTTTTCCTCATGTGGCAGCCACGGCCTGCAAGTTTCTCAACCCGAGTGAGTCAAGTGTGATCTACCTCAACACCTTCACAGTACATTTATCCGTTCTCTTTTTGACTGCGTACATATACTACACAACTTTTAATTCTCATCTATTCCTCGCCCCTTGTTTGTTTTCACTTCATCATCCCCCCCCCCTCCACCCCTCACCCGCCCATGTGGCCCCCTTCCCTGTTGCCCATGTTTGTCCGAAATTATAAATTATATTAAAGTCTGTCGATTAAGCCTCCCTGATTGAATGTCTATCTGCATTTGTGTGTGTGTATGTACTCACCTATTTGTGCTTGCGGGGGTTGAGCTTTGGCTCTTTGGTCCCGCCTCTCAACCGTCAATCAACTGGTGTACAGATTCCTGAGCCTACTGGGCTCTATCATATCTTCATTTAAAACTGTGTATGGAGTCAGCCTCCACCACATCACTGCCTAATGCCTTCCATCCGTTAACTACTCTGACACTGAAAAAGTTCCTTCTAACGTCTCTGTGGCTCATGTGGGTACTCAGTTTCCACCTGTGTCTCCTTGTTCGCGTCCCACCAGTGTTGAACAGTTTATCCTTGTTTACCCGGTCGATTCCTCTGAAGATTTTGTAGGTTGTGATCATGTCTCCCCTTACACTTCTGTCTTCCAGTGTCGTAAGGTGCATTTCCCGCAGCCCTTTCCTCGTAACTCATGCCTCTTAGTTCTGGGACTAGTCTAGTGGCATACCTTTGGACTTTTTCCAGCTTCGTCTTGTGCTTGACAAGGTACGGGCTCCATGCTGAGGCCGCATACTCCAGGATTGGTCTTACATATGTGGTGTACAAGATTCTGAATAATTCCTTACACAGGTTCCTGAACGCTGTTCTGATGTTAGCCAGCCTCGCATATGCCGCAGACGTTATTCTTTTTATGTGGGCATCAGGAGACAGGTTTGGTGTGATATCAACTCCTAGATCTTTCTCTCTGTTCGTTTCATTAAGTACTTCATCTCCTATTCTGTATCCTCTGTATCCTGTGTCTGGCCTCCTATTTTCACTACCTAGTTTCATTACTCTGCATTTACTTGGGTTGAACTTCAACAGCCATTTGTTGGACCATTCACTCAGTCTGTCCAGGTCATCTTGCAGCCTCCTACTATCGTCCTCAGTTTCAATCCTCGTCATAATTTTTGCATCATCGGCAAACATTGAGAGAAACGATTCTATACCCTCTGGGAGATCATTTACATATATCAGAAACAGTATAGGTCCAAGGACTGACCCCTGCGGGACTCCACTCGTAACGTCTCGCCAATCTGAGACCTCACCCCTCACACTGACTCGTTGTCTCCTGTTGCTTAGGTACTTCTATATCCAACGGAGTACCTTCCCTTTCACTCCAGCCTGCATCTCCAGCTTTTTCACTAGCCTCTTGTGTGGCACTGTATCAAAGGCTTTCTAACAATCCAAAAATATGTAGTCTGCCCACCCTTCTCTTTCTTGCCTTATTTTTGTTGCCTGGTCGTAGAATTCAAGTAACCCTGTGAGGCAGGACCTGCCATCCCTGAATCCATTTTGATGCTGTGTTACAAAGTTCTTTCGCTCCAGGTGCTCCACTAGCTTTCTTCGCACAATCTTCTCCATCAGCTTGCATGGTATGCAGGTTAGGGACACTGGCCTGTAATTCAGTGCCTCCTGTGTATCCCCTTTCTTGTATATCGGGACTACGTTAGCTGCTTTCCAAATTTCTGGCAGTTCCCCTGTTGCCAGTGATTTGTTATACAATATGGAGAGTGGGAGGCACAGTTCTTCTGCTCGTTCCTTTAGTATCCAAGGGGAGATTCAATCTGGGCCTGTGTGTGTGTGTGTGTGTGTGTGTGTGTGTGTGTGTGTGTGTGTGTGTGTGTGTTAACCTAGTTGCACTCACCCAGTTGTGCTTGCGGGGGTTGAGCTTGACTCTTTGATCCCGCCTCTCAACCGTCAATCAACTGGTGTACAGGTTCCTGAGCCTACTGGGCTCTATCGTATCTACATTTGAAACTGTGTATGGAGTCAGCCTCCACCACATCACTGCCTAATGTTAACCATTGTTATGGTTATGCTAATGCTAGCCATTTGTTAACTACTCCGACACTAAAAAAGTTTTTCCTGATGTCTCTGTGGCTCATCCGGGTACTCAGCTTCCAGCTGTGTCCCCTAGTGCGTGTTCCTCTGGTGTTAAATATACAGTCTTTAACCTATCAATTCTTCTGAGAATGTGTAAGCGTGTGTGTGTTGTGGTGGGGAAGGGGGGGATCTGTGATTGGGGAGGAGCAAGGCGTGCACAAGAGAAAGTTTCCCCTCTCAGCTGTACAGATGTTCAAGGTCGTCATATCTATATTTGGAAGGTGAGCATGGAGTCTGCCTTCCCCACTCCACTTATGAGTGCGCTCCTGGTTCTCAGTACTGTAATGACAAAATTATCACCATTGACTGTGTAGGCCATTGGGGCACCCAGTTTCCAAATGTTCGTATACCACCCCATGTTGAATAATCCATCCGTATATACCCTACCTATTTGCATGAGTATTGTATATGTAGTGATCATGTTTCCCCTAGAATTCTGTCTTCCAATGATACGAGGTTAAACTCCAAAACTCCAAACACGAACGCAGGCACACGAACGCAGGCAATGAGTAGTGAGGATGTAACTACTGTCGTCTAATGATGTGATATCTCCCGCAGCAGCTTCCCATGCGGCTGGCTGGCAGGGGACCCCCACCGTCAGTATCTACACAAATTCCGTTCTGGTTTCGCTCTTCCCTGAATGTTGGCATTCTAACGAATTTCCTGTAGTAAACATGGTAGTCTTTACGGGGTCTGGTTCAAACTATCTGTGGATTCTTAGAACAAGTAAATGTCCGGGTGATTCCCCCTTTTGTAACAGCCTGGATGTGTAATATGAGAGAGAATAGTGGTCCTGGTCCCCTAAGTCTGCAGCTCCCACCAGAAATGTAATAATGTAATAAACTTTCAATGATTATTCTTTTACTCTCGCTCTTCCTCGCTTCATCCTCCCTGCCCCCTTCCCCCTTCCTCCTAGAAGAGAGACAGAGGGAGAGGTAGACAGAGACGAAGACACAGAGAAGAGCTGCGAGAACAATCTTCAAAACAGAAAAAAACATGCAAACAACGCAAGATATGGAAAAAATAGTCAAAAAATAGAGTGCTTTAGGGAGTGTGGCCACCACTGGTGAGTGTCAACATGG